GCTGAAACCCAGCATTAGGCCACAGCAAGTCAATTTTATGGATGACATCCTCTGCAGACTCTAAATCTAATGCGATAGGGAAAAAAAACAAAGCGGGCACTAAAAACAAGATTCTTATGTTTTCAAATTTTGAACAAGAAATGATACCTATATTGTACTTTAAATAGGTTTACTGCCAACTATTACAACATCCAAACTTCTCACTGAAACAACTTCGAAAAATAAAAATTTCAACCATTGTACAAATGGTTTTGATTCAGTGGGAACATCACATATACGCAAATACAATCACATATAAAAGGAATTATTACATCACTGCATCAATTTAAAAGACAACACATTAAATCAGAGTCTTGTCTTGTCTTCTCTCTTCATATTTATCAACCATCCACGTTCCGGCATGGCAACAGACATCTTTGCCCATTTTCAGCATGTTGACCTCTGTCAGACTCAGAGGGCAACAAAATTTCTAGCTTTTTTCCAAAATCAGATGAAAATTACTGCGTACGTTGATGTCATCCATGAAATTTCCTTGCTGTGGCCTGTTAACTGCCTGCCAGGTGGTTGTAGAGTTCAACTGCAGCTCCTGTGTGTTTTGGGAGGTCAAAGATACAAGTGCTGCTCCCAGCATGTGGATCATCAGGCAGCTGGGTGGGGGAAAATTGTAGGGTTTCATTGTTAAAAGGGTCGCTGAGTACGTTATGACGGGCTCCGGGAGTTTTTGGTGTATATTCGAGCAGTCGTGATGTTACTGGGTTGTTTTTGTTACCTTCGAATTCCTTACAACAAACAGGTAAGAAAAATTCTGAAACAGGTTTGAATTTCGAATTTCCAATTAAAAAGTTCTCCAGTCTTTTTGAAGGAAATCAGGAAAGACTGGAGTTGAACAGTCAAAGATTTAGGTTAGTCCAAAATTTTGTGTTGGAAATCACAGCTCAGACCTGTTTCAGAATGACTTCTAAGTTAAACACAGATGAACTTTCAAGCTAGGTTAGAGAAATGTTCAACTTTTCAGACTTCTCTAATGAAGGGGTCACATATTTGGCTTGGTTGTTGCTTTGTCATAAAATTTGACAAATTATGGATGTTTATTAGATTTTGTTCAATCATTGTGTATACAAGAGAGAGTGTATAGAATAATGTACTGTCATTACTTTTATATAGTCCTGTATCGTATATGCATACAGAGTAAACATTTTGAGGATAGCAGCATTTACGTACACATAGTTACAAGTGTACTATTGGGAATGGAAATTTTTTAATTCATGTATTGACTCATAAATGACATAATTGAGGTGTGAGTTACAGACTGTCATGGAATTGTGGTCTTTTAACTTAACTTGATTAATCTACAAACTTTGACGTTTTGTTGGTAATGCTTTCCAAATATTGTTTGAGAGTTTTGTGGTTTGGATAGAATAGTATCAGTTCTGCTACAGGAACCATATGGAGCTTGGAAGTGTTGATGTCAGTATTCACATTAAGTACCTGTATTCCACCTTTATCAATAACTGTCCTTTTCTATTTGCTTGTAAATGTGGGATGGATTTCAATAGATGTCTTCACGACTCATTTGGCAAAGTCCTGGTGTTTCTGACATGAATTGTTGACCCTCAAAAGGCCCAGGAAAAAAAATGTTGTGTTTCAGGTTTCTCAACCAACCCCAGCAAAAAACCTGCTAACCGTAGCCTTTTTTGGTTGGACCATTAAAGTTTTGACCTGACATTTGAATTTCAAACCCTCTCGTCATTTCATACATTTGCAAAGCAAATTTCTATTGAGTAAATTGGGCGAAATGTTTTTCCCGTCACTGCCTCAAGCGAATGAGGGGACACATGTCCTGGAAACAGTCCTGATGCGTTACAGCTTCAATTTGTTAACTGTATTCGTTGGATCAGTTTAGAAAAATATAATTACCACAAAGAGAAACCCTACCTACAGACCTGTCTTTTTTTCGGGACAGAAATCAAGTACTGTCAGCATATTTTTTTCTAGGCCTGACTTGACTGACTGACCCTAACTCAGGGGTATCCATCTCCGACAGCTGTAGTCAGACCTATTTTCCAGACAAAAGTTCTAAAAGTCTTCATCCCCAAACAATGAAGATGCTAACCAGTGCCTCACACCATTGTGACCTACAGCAGCCTTTGTGGCGAGCGTCACACCAGCCGGGTCAAAACCTTCCACGGTCCGCTGCGTAAAAACGTCCCCTTACAATGGAGACGCCCGCTCCTTTCTCCCACCATTGTCCACACCGACTGCTGAATTTAATTTCGAGCGGCAGCCGTAGCCAACTGCATTAAGCCGCTGTCTGACTTGATGCCGTCCACAATGGTCTAATTGAATTAACTCACAAAGGGGCAGTCCCGGATGTTTTTCCTAATTACGATAATTTTCGTCTCCCGTTCGTCGCAGCGGGGCCGGGGTCGTCCCTTCAGCCAGAAGTAGAATTGTGCTAATGTCATCCTCGGGGAGGTGAAATCCATTTTGTTGGCAGTTTAAGTGATGCTATCGGTTGTTTAACTCATTGCGGCCATCGATCTTCCTCCGGACGCAGATGGCGCGGTTTGACGATCTCCATTGACGGGAGTTTGGTTACCATGGAAACAGACTGGGAGGTCCTCGTATTCTTCTGTCAGACTCTGACCTCAAGATCGGAGTAATCACTTCACAACAAGAATAATCTACTTTTGTTAACTTTTATGCTAGTGTATTGTCCGTACAAGTTTTTTTAACGAGTTCTCTCAGATTCTCTTGGAAACTTTGAGTCGGACACTGCTGAAATACGTAGTAGGCATCCTTCCATCTCGAAAGATGATGGTAGCACTCTAGGTCTGGTGTTGTGGCCGAGGACAGCGTTTGGTGTGGCTGAAATGATTACTATGATAATAACAGACCTGTCTGTTTGGTAGATGGTGTATTGTTTACTGGGAGTTGTTGACTGGCAGGCCCCTCCACCTCTCCTATTCACACCACACGAGCACAGGTCATTCTGGTTCAGTTACGTTGGCTGTTCTTCTTTCAGGCTCTGAGTTTTCAAGTTTGTAACTATTTCTTGTGATTGACACATTTCATTCTTTGGCTCTCTTGTCTTCTTTGTTGTTTGCCAACAGATTTCAAAGCTAAGAATAAGAAGAAAAAGCAATGTTTTTCCTTTCCCCTATACTCCTCTGAAACTAACCATTTCTTAGTTGTACATTTAGGTTTAAAACATTATTGTTTCATCTTGCAAATATAATTTGCACTGTATAGTACACTGCAATTTCAGTCTTTAGGCTATCATGTTGTATTTTTATAGCCTGGGTACCATCTGGATTTTCGCTCCGCAACGCTCGAAAAAGTCATGAAAGTCATGGTACCCAGGCTTGTATTTCTAAGTGTGTGATCAAATCAATGAACCAGTCCTTCTTTAAACATATAATGGTCTATAAAAACCACCAGTTCTATAGGTAGGTGTGTCCCAATGAGGTCTTCTTCTTATGTTGCAGCCCGATCTGCGTGCAATGATTTCGTGTCCCAAACTGTTCCCATGGCTACCAGTACAGAGTCCTTTTGTTGAAAAAAGCTTGGTTTTCAATGAAGTTCTCACCTTGCCTTATTTTACTGGTCTGGCTGTTCACTTCTGTCCATCTTGCCCCTCCTCCTGCAGACAATAGAGCCTGGCAGGTCGTCCCATCTATTGTCCATGCCTAGTTAGACCGTACTGGTTTGATTATGTGGATTGGATGACATCTTCTGGGCACCACAAGTTTAAAACTGATGCGAGCCTGAGTGGAAGGCTCACTTTAGACTAGAAACGGTTTACCTCTCCGAAACCCCTCGAAACCCTTTGCCATCAAAAACGGTTTCTCTTTAGACCCATAAAATACCCCTTTTTTCCCCTTTAGACTGGAAACGGTTTGCCCATCGGAAACGTTTTTCCACCCCGAAACCCTTTAACTAGTTTAAGTGTTTCTAGTCTAAAGTGAGCCTTAGTAAAACAGGTTGGCCAAAAAAAGTTACCTTCATTTTTTCAAGTGGTGAGGAAGGCAGAAGAAATGACTGATCAGCAAACTTGAAAAATTTATATTTTATAAAAATCCTGGTAAATTTTATGAAAATACAGGTCTGGAAATATGCTTTACAAATCCTTGCAAGGTTCACTTTTTACTCTGTTCCATATCGACTTTTGATTGACACATTTTCTGGAGATTTATAGTAATTAGCTATGACTGGTACAATGAATGAGGTTTTCACATCATACCTCAATGTCTGCTGGCTCAATTACAGACTGGAGTTAGATGGTGAAAAGGTGTAATTTTGGGGCCAGATGCATTTAGTGTATTTCACGCATGTCATTCACTAGAGAACAGGGTATTGTTAACTTATGGCTGAGAAAGTAAAGTTTACGAAGTCACATGATGGTTCGCTATATGAAATCCTTTTCCACTTGCTATAGAGGCTAGGCGTGTTTCCATTTCATAAATGGTCGTTGTCATTTGAAACAGTCAATGCCGTATCAAATTGCTGAATGGTTATTGCCATATCGGAGCGTATCACAACTTCTTTTTTTTTGGGGGGGGGGACGGAACGGACGAAAATTGAAGCTTGCATGGATGTCATCCATATAATCAGCCACAGTGTATGTGGCCAGGGGATAATAGATAAAGACCCATTGTCACATCTGGAGGACCTATTCTTGATAGTCTGCTGGATTTCAATCTGTTTCCACCCCCTCCTGTTATCAGCCATGTATTTTCCACTGAGTTGCTCCCAACCAGTGGTCCCAAATATGCTGATGAGAAGTGGGGCTGGGCTGTTACTTTTACTGTTCACTCCCCCGAGACAGTCTCCATGTAAGTTTTCAAACATCAGAAAAAAATGTTCATGTCAAGTATAACAGGTTTTGACATTATCAAGCCAATTGTGATGAATATATCACCTTCATGTGTGGGAAACTTTGTGAACTTGATTAAATATTCATATGATCATATGAATTGATTTTGATCTTTTTCATTGCAGAGAAATGGATTGAACACCTTTTTGCTGCCAGAGATGTTTGCTTGATAAGCAGGACAAGTATATTGAAGTAAGTTTCGCTATCCACAAGGTGTACCAGTTTTACTGCAAATGTAGGCTGTACAGTAGACTGCAGTGCAGAAGAGCCCTCTTGCAGTTCATTTCAAAATTGCAGCTGTTTTGAATGACTGGCTCCTGAGGCTGCTGGCAGCTGGGACATGCTTTATAAGCCTTTGTTCCCTTTTCAAATACTGGTACATCAGTTTCAACTAAGAGAAAAAGTACTATAGCTTTGAAGCTCCTAGTTTGAAGCTCTAGTTCTCTTTGGAAGCAATTGTGAAAGGAAACTATGGAAGAGAAGACATGAACGTTGAAGATAAAAGAACTTCACTTTGGTATCCGAACCTTATTCATGATGTTAGAGAGATTTCGACAATGCCTTATTTTGGTCTGCCTTTCACATATTGTTCCCAGTCACCCTGGTGCTTCTGACAATGCTGTCACTGCTGCGCACACTTCTATGAAGTGGTCAATTGAAAATTCTTGCCCCTTTACTCGCTAGAAACCTGGGAAACCCAGGGTCAGATTATCCAGTGACTGAACCTTTTGAGAGGAAAACTATTACGGACCCGAATGCTTATTGTCCCATGAGCAAATGCAGCCGAACTCACCATTGAAGGTAGACTGTATTGGGCCCAATAGTCATGATCTAAATTATGGGGTGAGGGAAGAAGACATAGTCCGGAGATGGCAGTTTTTTGTCAGTGTGTAATGGTCTGGTTTGAACAAAGACAGAGCAGTTAGAAATGGAATTATCTACCCTTGATTCTGTAAGAAAACTTGGCAAGGCAGCAGTTTTTCTTGTTAGGAAAAAGATTTGGGAAATAGAAACCATGAATGAGTGTATGGTATTTAATGCTTCACAAAGATTGTAAACCATTTTGATAGATTTAGTACCTAAGGATGTTGCACCATCTAGTACCTAGGGAATTTTTAGTATAAGAAGTCTTTGAACCTACATGTAATGTAGGAAAGTGCACTTTTAGGATGTATAATTCATCATATCTATACAACGATGTATAAAATGGCCATAAAATACATGATTGTATGCATACTCATGCATAGGTTATTGTCTTAGTTTGCACACAATCAGCATATTATGCAAATGTTATTTGTATTCCTTGCACAAAAGCTAAGGATGAAGATACCGAAAATGTCAGAGAATAATGCGTACACCACGCTTGTTTTGCACACTTCTTTTCTGTACAAAACATCCAGTAGTAATGAATTCCTGGTCCACACCCCCCTGACAGTGACAGAGTACGCTGCTCTTTGTTATGATTCTCCACTTGTCTCCGCTGTTTCAATTTCTGGCCTCCTGAAAAGAAGAGGGAGGTTCAGACAGATGACCTATCTTGACCCTTGACCCAGGGTATTGTGACCTTGTCGCCCTTGGGGTCCATTTTTTCCCCACGTCAATGTCACAATTCTGTCAATCAAATATAGAAGATACAGAGCAGGCCTCAAAAATAACTTTTCTTCCCATTGTCCCAGTATTGTTCTGAAAATAAAATTCAATTGTCCAGAAGTGAGGATGAACTGTCCCAACCTGTTTGTATGGAAGTATGTATCACTTCATCTGTGAAGTCAACCTTATATATTTTGCTTATCATGTTCTGACTTTTCTGGAGCCAAAAGCCGGGATGTGTGCCATAAACAAAAAAAGGGCTGACATTCTGATTGTTGATTATTTTTCTATAGTCCCCAAAATGTCCCAAAGTGTCTTTTTAGTTGTCCTGGCCTAAAGTTTAGTGGTCAGTGGCCATCGGGACACTGTTAATTTCGAGCCCTGCAGAGTGAAGCTCAGGAGAAAGGTCTTCATTCAGAAGAGTAGTTCTATAGTCATTTAACCCTCTACCTCCTTAATTCTCTTATACTCAATACAAACTGTATGGTACATACAAGGGCACACAGTAGGGGGAAGGTTAACATGTATGATGAATTGCAAGAATGTATATTTTAAAGTTTGGGAGGCTAACCTAGATCAACAGAAGAAACTCCCGAGATATGTAAGCTATTGCTAGCTGACTTTTGTTTTATTACTAAACCCATGTTGCAGACTTCACCTAGCGATAACATTGCTATTTAGTATGAAAACTACCAAAATGAAGACATCCTTCATTTGTACACGTAGTTACGATGAAATCATGTCATTTTAGCTGGTTTGTTACGCAGAAGGGCGGTCATACTAACTGGCTACACAGATACAGATTTTAAGCTAGTAAGCGCATCTAATTCTTTTCTAAACTAGCACGGAAACCCAACAGTTAGATCATTGTGGAGAGACTAAACTTAATTAGCTGTCATAAATAAGATTAACCTATGAGAGTGAATAATCCATTTACAAATGGCATTAGAAGAGAGGGTTGAAAAGACCACACAAGAATTCCCTTGAACTGTGTTTATCTCTGTATTAAGTCAGGCCTCACCTTGTATTAGTGACAACTTTTTACCCCCATTGTCACCAATTGATCCTCTCCTGGCAACACCAAAGCATTCACAATTTACATTTCTAGCTATTTAGTGTGCATTCTTTTTAGACACAGACTCCTGATTTATGTGTAATATTATTAGGTTACTTTTTAGCCTTCAGAGGACAGATGGCTCTAATTACAACTACCTGTTGGATTTCCTTTGCAGTACAATGTGTACTTCTTTCTTTCTAAGTTATTCATAAAAGGCATTTATTTTAAGTATGACATAGCAGTATCATATAAATGTTCTGTAAATGCATTGAATTTTGTGGTATTTTTCTTGGTAGGAGGGAAAAGGTTTTCAGGAATTCTGTGAAAGTTTCTCCTTACCGTAACTCAGAGAAGCACCTTTTTTAGCAAAATGCACTGGGCCTGCGTAAAACATGTAATGTATTGTACTTAGCACTTTGGCAGCACGTATCATTTTAAGGTTATATTCTAGTATTTAAGGATGACATCCCATGTATAATTTCCATATATTGTGTCAGAAAAGACAAGGGGCAAAATTCTGATGCAACAATGACGAAATCTAACGAAGATCATGAAAAGTCTGGGTTTCGTGCAGGTACAGTACATTCTGCTGACGTGACATTGAGCGTCATCAACTCCTAGGGGCTACAAAAATACCCCAGCGGTTACTAGATATGCTAATGTGTTGTAAAAGTATCTCATGGTGACAGACAGACTTTCCCTTTAAACCTGAGACCTCCTGACTGGATACGCCCCACTACAGGTAAACAAACCAAGGAGCACACGGCTGTTTGGCCCACTTGATAATCGTCTCCTAAGTGGAGAGTGTTGAAAATCCTGAGGAACCGTTTCTACATTCCCTTTGTTATCGGTACTATCTCCCTTACCATTGTTTGAACAAACAGGAAAAGAGGACTAAGGTTTCCACAAAAGAAAGGTAACTTTGCTATCATAGTTTAGCTGTTTTAGTAAGGATTAGATCTTGAAGAGATGTGTAGAAAGATTGTATGTTTGTCTTAGAAACTTTGTTTAGAGTCCTAGCAATCCTTGTATGTCTTGGCTATAGTGTTATTCAAAATATTCTGTGGTGTAACTGAATTCGTCAGAGAATGGCGTCATCTAAACATTTTGTATTGATCGTGTCTGTTACGTTTGAAAGATTAGTTAGGACATTATAAGTCTTGTGTACAATCAATTGTTTCTTCCTGCCATGCTTGAAATGCATTGAAAAACTTTTATTTTCTCATGCCTGTTATGAGGCCCAGTTAATGCTCGGTGTTGAAAAACAACGGAGCCAATTCCCAACAACTGGCATTACCTGTCAACTATATTGTTTGGACGCCCTTTCTTTCAAGCAGCATTTTCAGGCCATTTTCTGCAGCGAAAGCATCTAGCGTGTATTAGCGACCAGCATTGGAAAGGTTGGACATACATGTACTTATTTTGAACGTGCTTGAAAGCTTTTGCAGGTATTTGCTTGATGTGCTTCTTTTTAAAGGTAAAGACTGTGAAGTTGTTTTTCTTGACTTTCAAGTTTGCAGACTTCTAGGCTCTTTGGTAAGTGGAGGTGGGTAACAAGATGATGTGCCACTTTCAGTGTCGGTGAGCACCTCTTTGTCCTGCTGTCTCCTTCCCACTCCTTCAAATACTGTCCTTCAGAGCACTTCAAAGAAAACCATCAAATCTAGTTAAGAAGTTTGTCTGGAGGGAGTCACAAAGATAGCCTTGTTGGAGACAAGCTCCTGGATAAAGTTCTGTAAGAGCCGCCAGGATGTCAAAAAGTCAGACCACACAACTGTAGTTTATTTGCTCTACCTTCACAGTAGAGGCTTTCGTTTGCAATCTTTGTACTGGTGGTAGCTGAAAGGAGACAGAGATACTTTTCTGGGACCTTTAGTGATACCACCTTAGTTTTATAGAGGCTAATTGTTCACAATTCCTTCAGAATGGTTGAAGTGTAAAGCTTATTGATATATATATAGGGGGCAACAGGTAAAGCTTTCGTTTTTGTAAAGAGATAAAGAATTGTCCATACAAGTATGTTGTAAGACTAGTCACGGCCACAACAATTCAATTTGTTTTTATCAAAAAGATTTGGAAAACGTAATGCTTAACTGTGGAAAAACAACATCATTCAGAGCAATTGAAACCTGAAGACCAGGTTTAGGCCATGTTTGCCTAGATGGTCTGACTTTATCTCTCTACTGGGATGTTGGGAAGTGTAAATAGTGAAAAGTCAGAATGGTGATGTCATGTTTATACAATTTAAGTGTGTGTCACAACCTTTTGGTCGCGTGAATCTGAACCATGACATCATCTAATGTTTTTCGGAACTGTTTTCAGTTAGTCTTTTGTTCCAGGCACTATATTTGGGAAGTGACTTTCATTCAAAACCCTTTTTTGGCAAATTTTAGGAAGAATGCCCCTTGTCATGTTGTACACTAAAACTTTGATTCAAATTTTTCAACACAAAATTTAGAATGTGATATTATATATATATATTTTAGCAAAGACCTTGATCTCAAAATTTTTGGCTCCTTTGCTTGGATAGATGCCTATCCTATGG